TTGACACCTAATTAACACCTATTGTTAACAGGAGGTGGAGTGATACTGGCAATAGCCGCACTGTAGGAGGGGGACAACTGAAAACGGAGGCCTCCACCTCTGTTTAGTTCAAATTGTTTCTTGTTTGTAATTTTATAGAGGAGGAACCTGAGGCTCCAACCTTTTTTTGTTACTATTTATTCGGACCACATTATTGTTTTGTTATTACTATTAGTTCTCTTTTATGAACAGGTGACATTGGACCTAGTGACAAGCTGTGTGCCCACTGGCAACAATTGTTGCCGGTCATAAAACTACTATTTTTTTTTTCAAAATAGTACAAAATGGTGAAAATAATTACATAACATGATTCAGAGGGACTCAACTGTTAAAATGACATGCCTTACAACTCTGAAAATAAATTGGGCACAAATGGGTTAAAACACAGACTGCAGTGTGCTAGTTGACCAGGAGGTGGCAGTAACGACTCCTGTTTTGGAAATAATGTAAGCAAAGTAAAACGTTTAAATTATATTGTTGTTGAGAAAACAAAACTWAATATATGTAATTTATCTTTTAAATTTTAAATTATATGATCTTTTAGCATTGTTTTCTGTTAGCTTTTTCCTGTTTGTCTCTGTCCACACTCAGGTTCGTCCAGCAGGTGGCGGTAATGCACCTTTAGTTGGTTTGTCAATCGCCATAAAACATAACAAGAAGAAGACTACGTTAAATAAAAGCGGGTCTGTGTCATTCTTCAGTCAGTCAGTAGCTGTGTGAAGATTGATGTGTTCCGGGCAGATTCAACCAGGTAACACATCAATAACAGTTGACTGTACCTGTAATGTCTATTGTTGTTGGTAAAGAACGTCACTCACCTGACGCTGGTTCTCAGTGTTGTTAGCTAACTGGGACAGACTGCTGTCACTTAGACCCTGTTTAGATGAGAACTATCAGCCGGGCCATCAGAACCGAACCTTCCGCTTCAATTAAATTAATTACATTGAACCAGAGAAACAGTAGAATGGCCGCTGACGGCAGCTAGGCGGGATTTTTGGTTGCCATCTTGAACAGTTCTTTGTGTCACTGTGTTGTTTACGGGTGTTTTGCGTGCAGTCAGAAAGCGCTCAGAAAAGCCTTATTTTACCTAKATAAACATGTTTAATGTGAAAAGTGACTATCGTACTCTCAAACATGCCTCCCAACAAACCGGTCATTATTATGGGAAGGAAAACAACCAGATAATCACTATTTATTTAAAGGTGACTCCTCCCACCAACAAAGTTTATTCGTTAARAGGAAGCTCCTCTAATTGTCTCTTCTGAGTCAAAAGGAAAGATTTAAACCTTTCAGACGAACTCATTAAGAGTTCACTGATAGCAAAATACATATGTCTTGACTCAGTGGGTATACGTGAAAAAYATGTCCATAAAGTTGAAACAAAGTCAGAATTCAGTTCAAGGTTCATTTCTGTAGAATGGCAGTGGAAAAGTAGTAAACTATATCTGTTTTCAATTCAATTCAAAATACTTTATTGATCCCAGAGGGAAATTAGGAGTTGTTGTAACTCATTTCATTAAAAACTTATTGTAGATGCTGATGGCTGTGGGCAGGAAAGATCTTCTGTAGCGGTCTGTATTACAATGAAGTTGAAGAAGCCTCTGACTGAAGACACTTTTTCTATGACAGTCTGATGAAGAGGATGGTCAGGGTTGTCCACAATGTTCTTGATTTTGTGTAAAATCCTTCTTTGCACCATCATCTCCAGAGATTCCACGGTTGTCCCCAGAAGAGAACCAGCCTTCTCTATCAGGTTGTTTAGCCTTTTTAGGTCCCTGGCTCTGATGCTGCTGCCCCAACAGATGATGGCAGAAGAGATGACGCTCTCAACAACAGACTTGTAGAAGATCTGCAGCATCTTGCTGCAGACATTGAAGGATCTCAGCTTCCAGTACAGTCTGCTCTGTCCTTTCTTGTAGACTGCTTTTGTAGACTTTTCATTCACGTTACGGCCTTAGC